ATTCACTCGTTTTTATGTATTCTTTTATCTTATCAGAAAAAGGTTTTGTTTTAGATTGTAACTCCGTTCTTATTTTTTCGCTTTCATCCTCATTTTGACTTTGGATATTTTTAATTCGACATTCGAGTGAATCTATTCTGTTGCGATTATTTCCTTGTGCTAAATTAGCCTGGACTTTAAAGAAATTTGCCAACTTGAAAATTTGAGACAGAATCGTATCTAATTTCCTGAAACAACACAATCAGATACTGAAAATCAAGTTCAAAGAAAAATAGTTATAAATAAAAAAACTATGAATCTTGTGACCAACTTACTGCCAATTGTCGTACAGTCGAATGTCAATCGCACGTAATATTAGTTGCCTAATGCTGTCTAGTAATCTTTGAAACTCTGGAGAAATGCCGCCACATTCTTGCACTTTAATGGCATTTTTTGCAGATATTGTTAGAATTTGCTTCCTTTTATTGGCAACTTCCCAGTATTCAGGTAGCTGTTTTTCAAGATGTTTTCTTACGGAATCTTCCTCTACCTTTTCTACTTTATCCCATTTATATGCTACAAATAGTGTGCATTCTTCGAGAAGGTTAATACAATGACGGCCAGCATTAGATGTTTCAAGTTTCTCGGCCATTTTTTTCATCTGAAGAGATAAACATCTTATTAAATTCTGTGTTTTTGCAATTTACATTTTTCAGAAATGTTTTCAATCTTCATGCTTAAAAACTTGAAAAAAGACAATAACTGTTAGCGCATCTTTAAGTTCAAAATATCAAAGCCGAAAATATTAAGTATAAGAAAAACCATCATTGAAAACATTTATAACTAATAGTAATTTGCTTAGTTGTAGCTCATAAAATGCATTAGACATTAGCAATTTGGCTACCTCAATTTACATTTATTTGTGAATGAATCTTAAGTCAATCTTGGAAAGTAGAGATTTTGTTGTAAAAAAATGCTGCAAATTTTTTGAAGTACCTTCATTGTAGATTCTCTTTGCACACCACCAGCTCGTGCAACATCAAGAATATAAATATATGCAAAAGCATTAGGAAGATAGTTCATTAAAATTTCGTCCATTTTTTCTGATTCACCAAGACCTGGACTGTCCACAATAACAATTTCTTGCTGCAAAATACAAATGAAAGCTTAAGGAAATTGAAGAAAATTCTAACGTTACGCACTGGCATATCAAAGAGTAAAAATGTGTAGTTGTAAACCTTCAGTAAATCATGTGGCCAAAATATTTCTACTCTTTCAATTTCTCCTGTTTCCCTCATGTCCTTCTCATATGAACCGATGCGGTTAACATATGAACCGATTCGCATAGCATAACTCTGCTCAGATTCTTCATTTCTTGCCAGACTAACGACTTTGGGAGCGAGTCGTTTTTTTTGTACGTTGTCATATTTATAGTGTACAATCATTTCCTTTTCTTTGCCAAATTTAACCTCGCATATTGTTGAAAACAAATAGAAAGTATGATGCGGCACTAAATCGTCACCAAGAATCAAATTTAGTATAGTTCTTTTTCCTGTATATGTTTCACCTTCATGAAAGAATCAAAACACATGATGTCGCACTTGTAGTTTTACTAAAAACTTCAGGTGGGATTCTTTGTAAAAGTAAAGTAAAGGAAAGGTTTTTTTATTATAAAATGCAATTTCACCATACTACATATGTCATTCGATATATGAATTTAACGTTCAGAATACGCTGAGTTTGATGAGCTCAACGCAGATTCAAATTAACCAACGTTAATTTTTTTGGGTGTACACACTTCTAATCCAGGTTTAACCTGGATTTAACTATGCTCATCTCAAGAGAAAGGTTAAACTCAACCCAGGTTAAACCTAGGTTAGTACTGTTTACAGAGGAAAGAACTAACTTCGGTTAATTTGAACCTGGGCTGAACCAATGTTAGTTTATGTCGTGTGAATTGGGCTTTGTAGCTGCATGTACCTGTGCAAAAATTGCTCGATTGTTATCGCAAAGTCTGCTGAGGTTTCTTACCTGCAATTAGAAGATAATATTTCTTTTTTTCCAATGATTTTTGAATGTCGTTAATGTACTGTCGAACATCAACTTTGATATTAAGAAGGTCTTTTAATTTTGGAAAATCTACATCCCCAAGACGGTGTAAACACTCGTCGATTTTTTCGTTGTAGTCTAACAAAGCATCTCTATTTAGGTTGTCTCTTGACTTTGCTTTCTCTACAACTTCAGCACCCTAATTAATGTAAATGCTTTCTTCATAAACTTAAGCCATCACACAAACCTAATATTCATTGTTTGTCCCGAAATTCCATTCGCGTATATTCCACTTCTGGAAGTTTGATCACGAATTCTCTCTTTTAGTATTGACTTCAAACTGCTTAGAGACGCTGTCTCTTCGTCGTATTTAATGTTCAAAATGTGAACTATCTCTAGGATCTCGTTAAGGTGTAGACTGTCAACGCTCTTTCGTGGCATTTTGCAAATTTCTTTTATCTATAATTGTTTTGTTTGAAAAATTAATGGTCAAAATGTAGAATTGGTCATGGTACAATCTTTGCATGTTTTTGTCATTGAACTAAAATACATGGAACGCTACCTGTTATAGAAAAGCGTGACAATTTTTTGAAGCCAAATCTTACACCCAGACACGCAAGATTATACCCAGACACGCGTATGTAGTTCAATCAATATTCACTCCGCGAGAAAATCTCGAAACACTACACACGCGTGTCTGGGTGTAATTTCGCGTGTCTGGGTTTAAGATTTGGTTTCAATTATTTGCTTCATATAGCGTCCACCATGTATTTTAGTTTAATGGTTTTTTATAAAAGTTTACTTTGTTTTGTGTAATACTTTTAATATGAAAAATACATTACGTGTCGTGAACAATAGTAATATTTTTTCTTTGTGCTAGGTAATTTTCATTTGATGATAGGTACAGATATGACTTGCTTTGAACATAGTTTCATGAGATTCCCAGTTTCAATCAAAGTGACTGCTACAAAAAATAACCCATATATACAGAGTTTAATGCACAGAGTTTAATGGATGAGCTATGTGATTGTATGTTTTTTAATTTGTATGCAGCCAATCTCAGCATGCATGCATGAACTAGGAAGTTAGGAATCAATGATATTTACTAGTTGGCTTTCATCTGTGTATCTATGTAAACATGTTGCATGTAAGCACGGAAACTTTCACAGGTTTCCATAACGAATTGAGGAAACTTGTAGCATTCTAAGTATTTGATTATTAATTAATTGATCAAAGTCATGTCAATATACGCAAACGTCATTTTCTCTTCAACAATGACTTCATTTTTTAAGCTTGTTGTTTACTGATACATGTTCTTGGCAGCAGCCTTCGGATGTCTCATTAAAAATAAGCGAAATAAATGTAAGCAACATTAAGTTATTTTATTGAGCTTGTCAAAACACCAGTCGTCTTTAAAGATGCTGTCAAATCATAAATCTATATGTGCTGCGTTAATTTAAAGAAAAAAACTTAACTGAAGCGATGATAAAATCATTATCTTAAATATATTATAATTTTACAATGCAATGGATATTTTGATGGTTACTTAAATTAAGGAAGAAGGATTTGGCAACTAAGATATTACAAGGAAATTGTTTTAATCTAATAAAAGAATGTTTGAAGGCCAAATATAAGTTTGCTTATGTTTGCTTATACAATCAATGTTCAACATTTTTCAACTAACCTGCTTCGGCAAAAGTAAACACACCAACAACAGCGAGGACCTATTTCACCAACTAATGTAAAAGCAGAGTCAGTTGCTCAACGTTATCATACTTTGATATGAAGGATATATGCACCGTTGAGTTCTTTGAAAACATTCTATGCAGCGGAATAAATAAATAATGCACTTATGCGAAGAATTCTTCTACAGTAATTCACTTAAAGTACGTCAACATTTAACAATAATCTTCAATATTAGTTGTTATGCCTGACAAATGTTGATGCCTGAAAATTGAAGATTTAAGTGTGCGTATTGATTTTAAAGACAGCATGAATTGCATAAAATTTGTTTTCTGCAATTCTTAATTTTTCTTTGAGCAAAGTTCATGAGATTTTCTTAGTAGGTTGTACATTTATTATATACATTCAACTTTATCGAATCATAGAATGATTGGATTCAATTTGTGAACGAATATTCTTTGTTCCTGCTTGTTTGTGGAGATTATTAAATAAAGTTTTGTCATAGAATGTGCGTGAGCTGATAAGATCGCGTTGGCGGGTGAAAACCTATCGGAATGACAAATGTTTTGTAAACAAAACAAACTCGAGCTTCTTTTTGTTTTTTCATTCTATAGGCACTTGTCAAACAATCAAATATTTTCAACAAAAACATAGCTATTATATAAATGCGATGTTGCAATCAGTTGCTCAACGTTTGAATCGAAAGATTTTCAAAAATATTTAGATGTTTATAGTTTTCATAACTGAAGAGATTAAGATTTTGCCAAAGGAACGAAATCAAAAAATAAAAATATTAAATGAAGAAATTTGTATATATTTCCTGCTTCTTTGTCATAACCAGTTGACTACTTACAAAGATTAGTGTTGTATAATCGCTGCGACGCTATCAGTGTATCATCATCGGCACAGAAACACTATAACAGTGTCGCTTAGAACATTCTTGTTTCTATTTCCATTTTCTGTGCCACTTTCTTTGATTCACTCACCTACATTTAGCTGTGTTGTTTCATTAATTGTTTTGCACTTGTGCATTGGAAGGAAGCAAAATTCTTAAAAGAACTTGAAAAGTAAATTCCACAAGAACCCAATTGTTGACGTAGGTTAGGACTAAGATTGACAATTTCCAGTTAGAAAGAAAGATTATATTTGCTATACCATATTAGAATTGAAAACATTTCTTAAGTACTCCATCTTGCTTTTGTGCACCAAATGGCTCTTGAATTCTCTTAAACTTCCATCTTCAACCAGTCATTAATTTTTAGAGGCATTCAATAGAAAAGAGACTGAAATTATCACTGATATGAAAGAAATTCATTCATTATGAAATCTACATAAAAGGAAAACTATAAATTTGCTGACATAAAAGTCTTCTCTTGGAGTCCCTCCAAACATTTTTGAATGCTTGGTCTTTGATGAGGGTCATGGTGCCAACATGTCTCAATCATCTTCTTTATATGTGGATAGTTCATGACCTTATCTAGTTTTGGTCAATGACCGTTGATGATCTTTAATTTGAAATCATCTGTTCTAATTGGTCTAAGCTTTCGAAGGCTTTATCACCATGCCACATTTCCCAAAGTAAAATTGAAAAACTATAGATATCTGCTTCTTTCTTCATGTTATCAAAGCTCTTCAAAACTTCTGGAGCAAGGTAGATCATACTTCTCTCGGTTACGTAAAATTGGCCTGAAATTCCAATGTCTGATATCGCTGGTTCACCGTTTTCGTTCATCTGTAGAATGTGGTGATAATTGAGATTAAATCATATCTTTGAAACGATAAAAATTCCGTGATTGCTAAATGGACAATATAGTAAATTAAAATAACAAGCCTTTGAGAGAAATGGAAGACGGTACAAACAAATAAAAGCTATGGTCGAGACAATGCAGTAGTGTTCTCCTTAATATTATTTTGCTCTCAATGTTGTGTTTAGATCTTTATCTATCATCTCTACTCACTTTAGTATATGTTCATCAAAATATTAATTTCTACCATTTTAATATACATGCTATCACAATTCCGAAAGTCGATTTATAAGGAAACTATATTAGCATATTTCTAAAAAAAGTTGAAAAATAATGTTAACCAACTGCAATTTTTTCAAATATCAATTTGTTGTAACCGTTTATTAAAAGACTATCCAAAAAGTTTATTTTGAAAATTTCAAAACTAATGCCATTTAAAATATATTAAAAATAAAATGATGATTGTTATGTGACCAACTATATTCGCATGTTAGATCCTTAAACAAACTTTGTAATTTAATCTTCGTTCCTCAAACTAAAAATTCTTTAATAAGAGTAATTGTCGAGAAATTAGTAATTGTTAGTGACAAAATGATTGACTAACATATTTAGAAACATATTTTATGATTTTTCGACATTTAAATACAAACCAAAATATTTTCAAGTTTGAGATGACGGTGTATAAGACCCATTTCATGTATATACTGCAATCCATTAGCAATCCCTTTAGTCCAGCTCACAAATTTCTCGATTGCTGCATTGACATTATTTGAATTTGCTGGTATTACGTCATTGTCATCCATCACCACTTTCCTGAAATTTTTCTTGCACAACGGTAACACAAAAGCATGTATCAAATGTTTTGAACCATCGTCCTTTATAATTTATTCCTTTACTGCCCCAATAAAAGGAAGAACATTTTCATGCTTTAAACACCTGTTAAAACAAATTTTACATGAATTATTTGAAATGAATTATTGAGGATTATTGTATATATCTGAGTTTTCATAAAAAATTGTTGTTGATCTTTTTCAAGTTCAGGTATGAGCACAACCTCATTTTTCCCATGTAATGTATCCCAGTGTATCCATGTAATGTATCCCAGTGTATCTGCTATACGAAGAGTCATTCTCATAATTCAGTTTGAATATTTATACAACAACCTTCTCTTGACTTTTTCATTTACATAAGTATGTTTATTTTTAAGTTGAGAAGTTGTGTTCGTTGTTTGAAATGTGACCACGTCAGCGTTCGTTTTGATCCATACACATTTTTATCATTACCTATTCCTATGGATAATTCTATTTACGTCGAATGCATTGGTGAGTTTTTATTGTATTATGAATAATTATGGACAGCTAATATATCTATGGTTAACTCTATTACATCAAAGGTACTTGTTCTCAACTTTTTGTTTCGGTGAACGAAAGATTAAGTTTTACATAGTGTGTGAACAAATTACGTTCCTTTTGTTCGGATGATACCGGTTTGGGCAATCAATCTTTCACACAAATTTTAAAACTACCATGTAGAATTTTCCCCTGTGTATTATATAGTTGTTACTCTCGATGGCAGTGTTCCCGTGAAGTACGGCTTGTTGTTAAACAAAGAAGATACATACAAGACGTTGAAAAAAGAGTTAGCCAGACTTTGCTCTTCGACGCCCTCTCAGCTTTTAATGGCCGAATTACTGGGAGCCGTCATCAAGGTAAAAACAATATATAAGGCATACTGATACACTGACAATGATGGATGATTTAGTTGCACAGTTTTTTTTAGTTACTCAGAAAAACAGTTGAGTACAATTTGTGAGCGTTATGTTCGATGTTAATGCAGTAAAAACTTAATATACAAAATTTAATGTTTCTTTCAACTTGTAAAAGCGCGCTCTTATAGTCCCTTACTTGCTTATTGCTACACTCGAATACTCTTAGCGATTGGATCCAAAATTTCTGCAAATATATTTGTTGAAAATCCAAATTCAACATTTCACTAATTCATGACCACTTTTTTTATAAAAATGCAATAGAAAGTCTTGTTCTGTTTTCCTGTTGTATTCACACTGAGTATTTTCTTTCTGTTTCTTTGCATGTGTAGGGACTTCCTTTGGATAATCAAAAAGTGCGGTGTAGCCTATCGGGAATGATGTACGCCTTTGAGATCCCACTGCCTTCTACCATTGAGGAAGATAACCGTCCACCAAGTGTCGATGCTGTTAGTATTGGAGAAGCAACTAGTGAAGAGATGACTGTAGACGATGATACGCAATCATTGCATTGTCCAGAGACGAATAATGAAGAGACACGCGTTTCTTCGACTGCTATGTTATGTAACGAATCTAGTGATACTCAATGCGTTCGAAGTGTCAGTCAAAGCAGCTCTGAGAGAAATCACGGTGGATCATTAAAAATTCCATGTATTAGCAGGCAGACATCTGATGAAGGCTTGGACATCGATACGGTTACGTCCGGAAAAAGCAATGCTGGTTTTTTGAAACAATTCAGTCCGAGGTTTCTACGAAGCATACCGAATAAAAAGAACTCTTCTTCATTTAGTGATGGACTTGGTAGTCATTTAAGCATTGAAAGCTCAAAAAATTCTTATGCTCAAGCCCACGTCAAATCAGCGAATTCTTCAGTTTCAAATGTTGCATCTAGCTCCATTACTGTCGCACATTCTGCTTCATCACAAGTATCTAAAAGGTCAAGTCGGACTTCTTATCTCATCGGTTTTCATCGAAAACTGGTAAATAGTTTAAAATATTTATAATATATACATATATATATATATTGTTGTCCCTGTGTATTGCTTATAAAAATAGGGTAAACGTTACTCTTTAGTGTGTTGAGTGTATCATCTTGTCAAAAACATGTTATACGTCTACAATGGGAAACTTGACTACTTGGGGAAAATGTAATTGATTGAAGAATCATTGGTTTATAGATACTTAATGTTAAAGCACCTCACTATAAAGAATTGTGTGAATATGTACTTCAACTGTGCATATTTGTTTCTGTTTTATAGATGAGATTAGATGTGTACTTCATCGCTCCACAGAAGAATCGTCGAAGTTTGTTTGGATATCCACTCATTATACCGTGTTGTCCGAATACAAAGAATAGCGAGTTGTATTCAAGCGTCTGGCGGCAGATATCTCGTTATGTTAGCGCACATCCGCCAGGAGACGATTCATTGTCAAACAGGTTTGTTTGTTATTCTTCAGTTTCGTCAGGTTACTATAGCAACTCATGTTTACGCCCCTCTCGTATAATAACTTAAACGTTTACTATTTTTGTAATATTTAGTGAGCAAGGCTATCCATTTCAATTGAAAATCGTGGATGAAAACGGTCTTGTCTGTGCTCAATGCTGTTGGTTTAAGTAAGGAAATATTTATTATCGTAAATTTTATTGACGAACATCATGTGGACCATATGTGTTCGATGAGATTTAGAAAATTAGAAAATTTTTTTCGTGATAAAATGAAGTTTCCTTTCTTGGAAAATGTTTTTGAATACAGCAATCAACTTGATACTGAGAAGTCAACTTCAAGCAACGAAAACTCGTCTATTTTGTGTAATTTTATTTCCTGATAACTATAGGGAAACAGCATAGCAATGGGGAAAAGATATTTAAAAAAGGCAACTGATAAATGCTTTCATTAACTTTTAATGGATGTTTATAAAAAGGGATGAAAATTTTGTAATTTAATGGTAAATATTTGGGTACAATAGGGATGATCTTCTATTTGTAATTTTTTCTGAACAATCGATGACGATTGTTGAGAAAGTGTTCTGCCGATCGTGGTGCTATAAAAATGTTAAACTTTTTATTTAACACATTTTCTTCGTTTTCCACAGGTTTTGTCGCGGTTGCACCATCGAATGTGATGATAAAGAATTTAATTTTGATTGTCATTACGTTGCCATTGAATGGGAGCCTACAACTTTACATTTACGTTACCAATCTTCTCAGGAAAAGTTTCGTTTTTTGATACTATAATTACAAGACTCAAAGTTACGTACTTAGTCAACTGTCAGAAATAGATTTCTTGTTAAACCATTCCTATTTTCACATCGTGGTAATATTTGCATCATTTAAACATTAACCAAGTACATACTCATAGGTCATACTTGGAAATAAACTTCTCGTTAAACCATTCCTATTTTCACATCGTGGTAATATTTGCATCGTTTAAACATTAACCATGTACATACTCATGCGTCATACTAGGAAATAAACTTCTCGTTAAACCATTCCTATTTTCGCATCGTGGTAATATTTGCATCGCTTAAACATTAACCAAGTACATATTCCTAGGTCATACTTGTATTTTCACCAGGTTTTTACTGAACATGAAAGTGTTGCAGAAAGTCGTCGTCTTCAAACTGAACCCATCGACCTTTACGAGTGTTTCAAAGCATTCACAAAGGAAGAAGAACTCGGAGAAGATGAAATGTGGTGAGTTTATTTTAAGATTTTATTTATAATGAACTAGTAAATATTTATTTCACTCTAACTTATAAATCTCTGTGTCACAAGCTATTAGCAACTTTTTTGTTTGTTTAATGAAAACAATGGACGCTGTCATTTGTCGGCAAATTGCATGTTTGACATCTTTGTCTCATTTGGAATAGCATGAGCAGCGTTTCTATGTTGTGTGTTGCTTTTGCTGTGTGTTACTTCTTCACTCGATTATGCGTTTTGTGTTATGTGAAATTTCTCGTTTTCAATGAAAAATTAACTACATGAACATAATACTCTTCTCTAACAATTACTTGATACTCAGATCATTACAGGTTGAATTTTGACGATTGCTTTGACCCGTTTAGGTATTGCTCAAAATGTAAGAAGCATCAAATGGCCTGTAAGAAATTAGACATATGGAGTCTTCCCCCTATTCTGGTCAGTTCAAATCTTGCAAATATTAAGAAAATTATATTTTGTACATAGAGAGAACCATTTTCTGTTTTTATTCCGTTTAGATTTACAAAATAAATATTGTATCGATTAATTTGGACAGATTTTCATACTTCCAAGAAGCATGTACTTTCCTTTTGTTTTTATTTTTTGGATTATTCATCTTAAACGATTCCAGTTTATGAATGGTCGTTGGGTAAAGTCGAACAAGATCGTTAATTTTCCTATGGAATACTTCGATCCATCTGAGTTTGTTGTCAAACGTTCAGCGGAAGATGCAAAATGTGTGAAAACAGTTAACGTACAAACAGCTGTTGATAATAATCTAGAAAATACTGGAGAAGATTCTCATCAAGAGGCTGATAACATGATTTTGGACCAGGTAATTGCTAATATTCCAAAATCTGTTCTCGTCAATTAAATACGCAGTCATTTCGCACTCACATCAGAGCACGATTGTCGTTTGCTTTAAAAACATAAGAATGATACTTTATCTAAGCTACTTTATCTCTATGCATGTACCTTATGAGGTTTCATTGCATTTTAAGATTTTCACGTGTTTTTAGGATCTTGTCGACTTCGAGATGCAACAAAAGAGTTCCAATGATTCAGGCTTAACTTCAAGCACTTCAAGTACAGAATCGTCCATCGAAAATGAAGATAGCTCTGGTTGTCTTTATGAGAATGGAAGGCATCGTGAAAAAAGGTCGAAAAAACATGAGTTGAAGGAAACGAGAGGTGAAAGTACTGACGATGACATGCAATGCGACAGGTCTCTAAAGAATAATGATGAATCAAATGGTATTGATCTCTCGTTATCTAACGACATTTCCAAGATATCTGATGTGAGGCTATCTAAGCGAGGTTCCATAGTGAACTCGTTACCTTCAAGTGGAGCTTCAAGTACAATGAGTGATGTCAACTGTATTGATAAACAGTTGTCAATTGTTACAAATATGGAAACTTACACTTCGTCAATGCTTTATAATCTCTACACGATTTCGGTAAGTGGGTAATCTGCTTTCCTCAATGAATAAATGAAACAAAGATTTCTTGACTAACCTTTTAATCTGTTTTTATGATTATTGTTTGGTTACCCATTGTAGCACTTTTTTTAAGCCTTCAGCTTTCCGTCTACCGTAAACAACATTTCACAAACATCCTTGTTATTCGTTTGTTTTCTTCTCTTACATAATACATTCGTGTACGTCCATCGTTTCTTTATATGCGACGTTTGTATCAGTCAATAAATTTATAAAATACATTGTATTTAGAGTCACACGGGTGTTATGGGAGGTGGTCATTACGTTTCGTTTGCGAAGAATCCAGACTCTGGATGGTATTGTTTTAATGACAGTAGTTGTAAGGTTAGTATTGTATCTTTGTTTGATGGTATTGTTTTAATGACAGTAGTTGTAAGGTCATTATTGTATCTTTGTTTGATGGTATTGTTTTGATGACAGTAGTTGTAAGGTCATTATTGTATCTTTGTTTGATGGTATTGTTTTGATGACAGTAGTTGTAAGGTCATTATTGTATCTTTGTTTGATGGTATTGTTTTGATGACAGTAGTTTTAAGGTCATTATTGTATCTTTGTTTGATGGTATTGTTTTGATGACAGTAGTTGTAAGGTCCTTATTGTATTTTTGTTTTATGGTATTGTTTTAATGGCAGTTTGTTTGCTCAATGGGGTCGTTGAAAAGAAGAAATATACATTAGGAAAATATTGCATGTTTTCTTAGTGTCGATGATTATTGTGCTCGCTTATCAATTAATACGACATTTATCAGCGATTTCTTTTGTATGAACAAACCCCTCTCGCCCCTTTTGATATGTTTTTCTGTTTGTAAGAAAGATGTATGCCAAAAATGTATAAAATTATATTGTTATTTCTTACCACTAGGCGGCCATAACTCGTCTGAAAAACTTTAGCTATTGCTCATTAGTTGTGTAAGTTGGCTAAAGTTAGTTGGTTGTTATTATTTAGGAAACAACAGCAGAAAGAGTTTCCAGAGAGTCCCCATATTTATTGTTTTATGAGCGCGTTGGTGTTCGTGAGGAAAATTTTAAACCAGACATTTATGATCGCAATCAAGAGTCGCCAAAAGACGATGATGAAATTGAGAAAGAAATGAAGAAAGCTTGCGTTCTGCAATAAATTAGATGATGACGCTTTATACCTCAAGAAAGTCGTTATTAGCGTTGTCTCCAACGTGAACGGTTCATTTCCGCTGAGCAAAAAGCTTGTCAGGCTTATTGTAGCCCAACTTAAATGATTCCCCATTCACATTTGCCGCGAACCACGTTCCTAACTACAAATTTAATATTTATTTTGTGCCGAGTTGCAATGATGTCTAACAATTTTTAAATTGATTTTGGGGCAAAATTAATGAATTCATTATGCATGAACTACATCAAGCAATTTTTGTATTAAGACCTTTCTTATCGTAAAGGTGTTTTCTATCATTCAATTTCAATGCCCGAATGGTGTATTGTCGAATTTGTTTTTATGTCTGCCGTTATCTGATATTCCTGGTTTGTATTGAAAAGAGCTTTTCGATGTCAAATCAAACACAAGCTTTATGATTTTGTTTTTACCTAAACAACACTTACAACTTTCATTACTTTTACCTCCACGCATAGTAGCCATCCTGTATGTTTTGTCCTGCTTGTAAATTCTCAAATATTGTAGCTACCCATTTCTAAGAAATCTATTGTTTTTGCAGTGACCAAGTGATAAAATATTTGCGTAAAGCTAATAAGGAATAATAGGTGCATGGTTGAATTTAACAAGCCGTTTTGTAAAAACTATTTACCTGTTCAAAATAACGATAGTATGCATGTTAACAGCATAGAAGCTGTTTAAAATTTTCAGGGGCCTTTTTGAAATCCATTGTGATTAAAAAACAGGAATATTGAATGATTGCTGTTTGATACACTCTTTAGTGTCACTTAATTTGACACACCTTATTCAAAGCATGTGAAAAATATTCATTGTCTTTGTATAATTGTATTCAAGCAATTAATCCGACCAGCAGGTAAGATTAAAAGTTCTTGCTTGCTTTAATCTTTGCATTATCTTCTTTTTAGAATCAATTGAAAGGTTGACTTAAGAGCAATTGTAACCTCAGATTTGATTTCATCCAAAACAACTAATTAAAATATAAAGATTTCGAATGACGTCAATTCGAAGAAGACTTGAACAAATTTGAACATAATTTTGGGTTTCGTTAATTTCTACAGAATATGACACGGTGTTGAAGTAATGCTGAAAGCAAAAGTCAATACATTTATACACAATTTGCTTTTCTTTTCTCTATCAAGATAGAGTTTGGTATGTGTTGGTGTTTTGTATTTGTGTTGCGTTGTCTTGTAAGGTGCGTTTGTACATGAGTGATTTGAAATGAATTCAAGGCGGATATGCTGTTTGTAGATTTTATGACACACTTATGTAAATAGAAAAACTGAAAGTGATTTTATCATGAACAAAACACGATTAAAAAAGTACGACCAGTAAGCATGGGTTTTTTGATTTATCTCAACGTCGTAATCTTTCATTATTCATTTCTTTGGAGCTCTATTGTTTTTCGATAAGTGAACACAAAAGAGGACAAGGTGCTCCCTATTAGTCAAACGATCGATCGGTGTGGGATATATCCACTTAGTTACATCTCTTGTACATAGAGCGACTGTATGGTTTATTATGTTCAAAGCAAATATAAGAAAATTCTTATGAGCGCGATAAAAACAATTGTCTGTACTTAATCTGTAACTAGATTACGTGTTTGTGAGGAAAATAGAAAACTTTTTCTTTTTGACTATCTTCATTTCAAAGAAACATGTGGAAAAAAACACAAGTACATCTCCCTCGGCTGTGATATAACCTATTTCATATTTTAGCCAATGTTATTGGTTACTTTTTCAGAGCTCAAAAAAATCCTTACCAATAAAATGCTAGAACCTCATGGAGATCAGCCAATGAAATAAAGCCACTAGTGATCACGTCAATCACTTTTCACAATTCACAGTCTGGAGCTAGATGCCCTCAAGACTTGAAAGCCAAAGGTACGTTTGTGAATTTTTAATAATTATATAAGAAAATGACTTCAAATGTCTATGAATTCGATGACAATAGCCTTGTTTGATGTACAATTACGTATTGTTTTACTTGTAAATCTTTTGGTCGATTAATTTTGTCCAATTTGACGTTAAACTGCGTGTCTTCTTCGGTGTGTTTGCTTCGCAAGAGAACCTTGTTAGTATAAACGACAAGTTTGTGTTTTTGAAATTCTTTCTTTCAGTTTTATTTTTGTGCGTTGCCTGTTGCGAGTATTTGGAATGTGTTGAGGTGAAATTTTGTTGAATACTTTTACTTTCAACGAGTATTTGTGAACGATATATTTTCAACGACCAGTGTCAACGACAGACTTTGCGAACGACATCTTTTCGTTTCAACGCAAAAATATTAGTAAAGTACAGGTAAAAAGTTGCAGCATGGCTAACTAAGAGATAAGCAGGGTATTTCTTTTTCCTTGAGTTGAGTCTTGTCGATAAAAAATGTTCCTTTAAACGAAAATTTTAAAGATATTTGAATAAATATGAAGATGTTTGTTCATGTTGGACGTTGGACTTTCAATTATATTGGCGCCTTTTTCGTTCCGCGTGAAAATGAAGAACACTGGGCACAAATTATGTAAAATTAACCAGCTTGACTACAAAAACAAATTTTCGACCGAAAACACCAAAGCATCTTTGTGTGGAGTGAGGGCACAGGCAAAAACGTAAAGAATAAAGAAATTCAAATGCGTAAGCCTTGAAGGTCTGCAGGCTTACGCATTTTAATTAAATATGCTCAAATGATAGCAATTCTAGTTAGCAAAAAGATTTTTAATCGAACATCAATGAAAGATAGTGATGACAGATAAGGCTACTTTAGTAAAAATCAGAAGAGTTCATCATTAACAATATATTGACTATTTTTGAAACATTTTGCCAATAGGAAAAGATGCTAATTTCCTCTTGAAATTTAACTATGAGCAGTCATAAAGAATGCAACCAAAGTCGTTGCATAAAACAAAAAGCTATGGAAAGAATAGGAAAAGAAGTAAGGCTGGAAACTCAACATTATTTGTCGTTCAAACTTTCATTGATTGTCTAATTTCTTTTATATGAAAACGGTTTTGAAAATTTTTATTGTGATGTACATCTTCAAATGGGCGAAACACAGAATTTAATTTCATTTAATTTGAATTGATAGCATACTCAAATGAAAGTGACATTCTGATTGAGAGTAATTTTATAGATTTACTTGTACACATTACAAAATTTTTCGACTTTTCTATCCAAAACGTTGCACGAACAGGTTTGTTTTAATATTCTTATTATATAGCAACAACCATTATCTTCATACTTTGCTACAAGTGCATGAGTATTATTTCAAAACAAAAAGCAGCTAAGTTTATAGTATGAATGCAGAATGAGTAAACAATAAATCAAAACTGTTGTTGTAAACGATATATCGTAAAACAACGTTCAATGGCATATAAAGAATCTATAAGTTTTCTTACTTTTAAAATGTATAACATATCAAAAGAAACGTTGATTGGAAGAAATACATTTATGATGTATACATGTTGTACTTGCGCCTACTGGCAGCTTGAAGCTTGCATTAGCCTACTATTTTAATTTAGTAAAAAACTCCGCGAGTAAAAACAATTGTTGTGAACGATCTATATCAAAAATCTTGCTTTATTGGCATATCAAGAGTCTATAAGACTTCCTTGTTTTGAAATGTATAAAATATCACAAGAAATATTCAATGGAATAATTTACTCATTGTACAAAAGAAAATATTGAGAACATTTTCAAACCAAATGCTGTGGGGTGTAGAGTTAAGGATTATAAGACAATTTGTCAAACTTGTTGTGAACGAATGATATGAAATGGACGTTTATAAGAGCTAACGAAGAAGTCTATAGGACTTTCTTTGAAATTAAAAAAAAACATTCATTGGAAGTAATCTATTTATAAAACAAAAAGTAAATTTCATACTTATCCATACACCAGCAACTTAAAGTCTTCATTTACCTACTATATTCCTTTACTAATTAGACAAGTAAGTGAAAGTATTGTTATAGAACGTCTCTATGAAAAAAAGTTCAAGAATATATATATAAAATATCTGCAAAACGTCCAGAACACTTATAAACGTCTCAAAAATGTTATCATCATTTCATAGAGGTCACTCCAGGAACCACAAGTTCACTATATTTAATCAGAAAAAGAGAATTGTTAAGACTTTATTATTCCAAAGCCATCCTCATGCAGAGAATATACATAATATTAATCCTAACACGGTTTTTATATGAACATGAAAAACATGTGACTTGGACGAGATTTCAACTCGTACCTTCGGGATACTAGTCCGCCGCTCTACCTGTTGAGCTACCAAACCCACAGGGATTGTAGACGAGTCAAATATGTTTTAAGCTGCTTATGGACGAAAGATTCTCGCCACGATAGCAGTTTTCCTGGATGGCACCGTGTTTAGACTTTATTTCCAAAGCCATCATCAGAGAATATACATAATATTAATCTTAACACGGTTTTTATATGCAGGTCTTTAAATTTCTCTTTTTTTCATTTTCTTGATATTTATCTATCTGATAAAAATTGATCTATCTGACAATTCTCTGCATTCATGACACTCGCAAAAATAGAAAAAACGTTGCACTTGACAAGTGCTATGAAGAACTCAAACAATGGAATTTTCAGCTTCCTCAGAAATCCGTCATTCTCACATGCAACGGAAGACATTGCACTTCAACAAAAGTGCCTCAACCACTGACCTCAACGCCTGAAGACGCTGCGCTTGCAAGAATAGATGAAATGACTTCATCGATTCTTACAAGCGCAGCGTCTTCAGGTGTTAATTGAAGTGCCTCTACAACGAAAGACACTGTACGTGCTATCGTGATGTAATAAACGTCCCAAACATCTAAAATTGCTTCAACAACTGAAGACGCTGCACTTACAAGAATTGATAAAGTGCCTCAAAAATGGAAGATGCTGCCATTACAAGAATGGATGAAGTGCTGCAACATTTGAAGACGTTGCGCTTGCAAGATTTGATGAAGTGACTTCATCGATTCTTGCAAGCGCAGCGTCTTCATGTTGATTGAAGTGCCTCTACAACGAAAGACACTGTGCTATCGTGATGTGATAAACGTCCGAAACATTTAAATGCTGACATCTATCTGTTGAAAAAATAAAAATAATATGAAGTGGTACATGACAAAAGATAAAAAAAGAAAATTTGTGACGGAAAATAAGATGAAATGATGCAAGACAAAGATTTTTTGAACTCTATAACTATATTTGTAAATACATTGCCTGTCACTTTGGCGCATTCATGATTTTTGAAAACTTCCTGTTGTTGGTGTAATCTTTTTCTACATGTTGATTTCTCTTCAAGATGAAGAAATGATATC